GTCTGGCCAAGCTGGGTGAGAAGTACACGACGTCCACGCTATCGAACGGGAACCTGGCTCTGCTACAAGACCTCAACGACTTCGGCTCACTGGGCTTTCACAAACTTCTCTCCGCGGAGACATTCAAAGCCTACAAGCCCGCCCCGGCTACCTATCTTGGGGGTGTCCGGGAGCTGGGTCGCGAACCAAGTCAAGTTGCCATGGTAGCGGCACACATTGGCGATCTGCTTGCGGCAAGGGAATGCGGGCTCAGGACTGTATACATCGACCGGCCGCAAGAAGAGGCATCTCCGCAGGACGAGAAGGACAAGCTCGCGGCGAAGGATCTAATAGATGTGTGGGTGACGGTTGAGGAGGAAGGGCTTCTCGCTTTGGCCAATAAGATTATTGCGTCATGAACGGCTCAGGTTTCTATCTTACTCATATCAACTTAATTCTAGGCTCTCTTCCTAAGCCTCACAGAATCGCCAGTCTTGTGGTGGCTTGACACCCAGAAGAGGTTAACAGGAATTCCAACCAGACCTCAGCCGCCTCTCACATGTCAGTTGTCTACTTGGTGAACCCTCCTGCATGCGCCGCAACCTAAACACCAGCACCCTCTTGCCATCCTCTCCTCCTCAGGCAACTTCGTATACCATACCAAAGAGGACTGACTGCATTTCATGCTTCTTGCTCACATATTAGCGCCCATCCCATCACCCCCAGCCGCATGATCCGGTCTGGCCTGGCCCACAGCAAGCCTGCATCCCCATCGTTACACGTGGTGGTTGCAAGGAACAACTCTCAAGAAAAAAAGAAAAAGCCCACGAGCGAAAATGCAAAGTGATGTGTTCATGACGACGTAGAGGGCTGGTGCTTGGTGATATTCCATCAGACCGATAGTATCAACCGACATGGGGACTCGGGCTGGCCGACGTCAGCTGCAACGCCGTCATTTGATCTCACCGGCCAGACGGGGCAGGACCTTCATGCAGTCTTGTCCCCAAATCCCAGAGGCAATGAGCAAATACCCTCCCCCAGCCCATGGGTTAGTCCGCATTCACGCACACACACACACATGCAAGCAACATCGTTTTTGGATTGGCTCCTCGCTCCCGGCCTGCGCGCGCGGGGGGAGGGACGACCCCCCACGGAAGGATCCGTTTCGAGAAGCTCCAGCGACTTCTTTTGCACGTTTCAATCTTCTCTAGGAAGGTCCGCCAGGCTCCAAGGGGAGGGGGGCCAGTAGAGGACTTCATCACATTGATATCACTCCTGCAATATTATGTAGTCTGCTCTAGCTCCCGTCCGGGACTTGGGCATGGCGGAATTAGGAATAAAACGGTCTGCCCACATGAGCTAAATCAGTTGATGGAGGCATACCCATTGGCCGGGTCGTACAGTGGCACCCCATGTCGTTTCAACAAGCTACTGGATGTGTAAACTTGTGCAGATTTCCTCGATCCCCTGAAGCCTCGAGGTGCCATCGCACCCTGATGCTCGATTGATCATCACCGCCGTTCGATTATCTTACATTTCTGACGTAATTGGGCCAGCCAACCCACGCCTATCATGTTGCCCTCGTGTCATTACTGTTGCTTACGGTTTGCCCCGGAAGGTGAGGGAATCACAGAAGGGTTCTTCTAGAAGGCGAACTAGTCCTGGTGAGGAAGGCCCACGGCAGTTTGTTGGTGATGCAAACAGAGGCTGGCATGGCAGTTGCAACGATCGACCGGCCTGCTGGGACATCCGACCGTTGGACCTTGTTAATTGGGCCCTAGACCGCTAGATTGCTCGGTCTGTTATTGCCGTTGGGTTTCCATTAGTTTCCACGGTGATGTATATGAAACCCAAGATAGGAGCAAACACACGTATCCGACTTAAGGGTCTACAAGTGCCTCCCTGCCGTTGATCGGCCGTCGGGCTCCCAGAAACGGGGATGGCAAGTCGCATCTCGGAGAAAGGTGAACCGTGAGTCAAGACGGCCCCTGGCATCGACGGTTGGCAACTCGCATGTTTATCTTTGTGAAACCAAGAGTGATACAACCCTAATGTTCGGGGCATTTCAGTGTCTCGGAGCGGCGACCTTTATTTGGAAGTAGTACGGCAACCCGAGAGGACGGCCGGGTGAGGAGGACACGGTTGGGTCCTCGTTCTTCATGAACCGTTGTGGAAGGCAGACGGCAACTATCCGCCCCCTTCCCGTGTCCAGGGAAGCACTGATCTTAATCTCCTTGTCATGGTGGCAGACGCTGTATCCTAGGATAACTAACGGCCTGCAAGGGTGTTGGCTACCCCTTGGTTAGAACATGTCACTACAAAGCAGGACACAGAATCCAGGGCTGTCTCGGCTTTCCTGTCCCGACTTGTCTGGTCTTGCCTGGAGGAAATTACCATCCACGGGAGGCGGCTACGAGGTCGAGGACGATCGTTCTGTTCTGGTTTGGCCGTCATGATAGATGGTAGGCTGGGCTGACTGAGCTGACCTTGTACCACGTCAGTATTGTAGACCAAACCAGATTATTGGTAAAAAAAACCGATAATCGCGTCCATCGTCTGACCTGATCGCGGGGAATGCCGCGAGATCAGTGAACAGGTAGCTGATGGAAGCTCTCAATCATATGAAAGTGTGTGTGGGTTTGGGGCATCCACTGTCGGGTCAGTAGTAAGAGCAGAGACGGATGGGGTGAGACAGGGCCAACAGCAGACAAGGTGCACGGATGGAGAAGGCCATGATGGGGAGAAATGATAATGCAGTCATGCCAGGAGGGTAAATGAGGGCAGCATCTGAAGTCTGGACGCAGGCAGACAGCGAGGCGTGACTGGAGGCCGATGGGCGGACTGCTGGGCGGTTGAGGCTCTGTTCGAGACCCAAGCCAATGTTTACCAACACATGCAAGTAACACCTCTAGGCTGCTGCGCGGCCGGGATTCTCGACGCTGGTTGGTCCTGCGTTCGCGGTCGAGGTCTCGAATCCAGAAGAATTATGGGGGAGGGAGATTGTCTTTTGCACGACTGCTTACACGAGGGAGGCAATGCAGCTGCCCCGCCGGAAGACTGAGAAAACTGTCGAGAAGATCCATTCATTGGCAGAAGACGGAGGCGATTCGCAACAACACGGGGCGGCTTGCAGTGGCAGAAGCAAGGTCGATGTCGCTATCGGGGCTTTTTCGCCAATTGCTGTTCCGGTGGGGATGTTTAAACTCCAGGATCCCTCCAGAAAGGGGCGGGTACGTACTAGTTAGTAATGCAGTGGGCGAATGCTACCTCGCCCGTCCTCCATTCCATCCCAACAGCCCCCCATCTGGCGCAGACAGCATTGAGTCGCACCCAGCGAGAATCATGCCCACCATTGGCTGCTGTCAGGGTGACATATCATCCCTATGGAACAATGTTCCGAAACGGACCAGGCAAGTAGTCCGTCTGTCAATCACTTGCCAGAGCACAAGGGATACCTGGATGGGATGAACCCGCCAGGGCGAACGAGGTCAAGGGCTTTACGGACTCGGGGAGCAGTGCCGACGACCGTTGGTTAATTGCTAGTACCAATCCTGCTAAAACACGCAAGGTTGGTGGTGGGATTGATTGTTCAAAGGGCCCTCCGGTCGGGCTTTTCGTTTGCCAAGTCGAGTAGCGAGCGCGCGTCGCACAGGCGCTGCCAATAGGGCAGGCAGCTGATTCGCATTGGATGTGATGTTGCTTTTGCGAGTGCCTGTGCTGCAACGCTCAGCCCAGCGCTTGCGTTGCGTCTTGCGTTGCTTTTTCGCCGGGTCGCTCGCTGTCTTGCGATGAATCGCCGACCCGAACATACATCCAGCATGCATCCGTATCTATGGAGCCCCCTTCCGCCCATCCATCCATACACACGGGCAGGACAGGCAGACATCGCTAACAGCCCAACCATTTTACTAGGTACAACCTAGACCTCCCAGGTCCCCACCCAGCAAGAGCCAGCTCATCTTGTGTGCAGTATTGTCGACAACCTAGCAGACAGACAGAGCAGGTAGCCAACCCCCGCCCCCAATCACGGCCCAGAGCTCTCACGACCCCGGCCCCCTGCCATTGCCGCAAGCTGTGAGAGTTCTCGATTGCCGCCGGATGCACAAATCATAGTAAGCCACAGCCATTCCCTCGACTCTGCTGCTCGCACTCGACGTGCAACGTAGCCGGGCATTGCAGCTCGCTCCCAATAATGACACCTCACGGCGCAGCCAAGGGCAACACCCCTCCTCAGGATTGGATGAAGCTGCGGCTATACCCATTCAAGACCGCGATGCCACTTGTTCTCGCACTAACTTGTTGCTCCTCCAGGTTAAGGGGGGGGACAGGGCAGGGCCAAGGACCCGACCCAAGGCGCGGTACTGGCCCCACCACCTGCTAGAGTTGGCTGGAGCCCTGTAAAGCCCGGGTGTAAATCCCCTGGCCACCTTAGAGACCCGGCCGGACGCATTGCATACCTGCCCGCCTAGCAGTTCCGCTTGCTCACCCTTCCTCCACAGCAGCAGCCTCCCGCCCTCCCTATTGCCTGTACGTCGGTAGGTAGGTGGTAGGTAGCAGGTACTAGGCCGACCTTAGGTGGTAGGCAAATGTACGGGGGGGGCAGGTACATACCTACCTACCTCCACGCGCTGTCTAATTACCACCAGAGCAGAAGCGCTCTGCTCTCTGCTTAGCCTTCTCTCCCCCTTCTCCCCTTCTCCCCTCTTCCCTGCCTTTTCATGGCTGGTGCCAAGTTCGCATCTAGTGCCAAAGAGCTCCAGTAAAGTACCTACCATCAGAGTGCCACCACCACCTACCACTAACCGACGCAAGCCCCCCAGTCAAGTTATCCATTCTTCCTCCATCCCATCTCATCCATCCCCGCCGAGGAACTGCACTTCGAAGCTGTCCCATCCCTCAACCGCTTTTTGTCCACCTCCATATCTCTTTTTTTCTTCTTAACGATCTTGCTTGAGCTCCCAACATACCAGACGCCCACCTCGCCAACGGTAGCCTTTCCACAAGAGTCCCAACCGCCCATCATGGCGGGACGAATGGTGTTGTACAAGCTGGTGGTGCTGGGAGACGGCGGTGTGGGAAAGACGGCCCTCACAATTCAACTGTGCTTGCAGCACTTCGTCGAGACGGTGAGTATTCGGATTGTTCGATCGCTTGCACCATGGCCTCTGGGCCGCAGTTTCTGCCCCTTCCGTCGCCTTTTTCTCGTCGCTGCAGCCCGCTACATGGCTTCCTTTAGCACCTCCCCTCCACCCCTCCTCAATTTCATAATTGCACCCAACCCAGCTATCGGCAAATGACCTGAGCTCTCGCTGACCAGTGCAATTTTTTTTTTCGCCATTAGTACGACCCTACAATCGAGGATTCGTATCGCAAACAGGTCGTCATAGATGGACAACCATGCATGCTCGAAGTACTCGACACTGCTGGGCAGGAAGAGTACACGGCGCTAAGGGACCAGTGGATTCGTGATGGCGAGGGATTCGTCCTCGTCTACAGTATCTCATCTCGATCGTCGTTCGGACGGATTAAACGTTTCCATCACCAGATCCAGCGTGTCAAAGAGTCTGTAGCGTCGTCGCCCACCTACCCCGGCTCCCCAATGGCCACGAGTAATTCGAACCAACCCGTTCCAATCATGCTCGTGGGTAACAAGAGCGACCGAGTGACTGAGCGTGAAGTCTCAACTCAGGAAGGACACGCATTAGCCCGAGAACTAGGTTGCGAATTCGTCGAAGCATCGGCGAAGAACTGCATCAACGTTGAAAAGGCCTTTTATGACGTGGTGAGAATTCTACGTCGCCAACGCCAGAGCTCCTCGCCCCACGCAAGGACACCGCGTGGTGGTGATCGAACCACCCGAGATGAAAAGGACAGGAGAAATGGCAAACCCAGCCGCAGCAGCCACGGCAACTCCAAGGGAGGCAAGGGCATCAAATGTGTGTTATTATGAGATGGCAGATCACTTAATGGCACACATTTCAAACACACTGGGAAGTGTGTTGGAGAGGGGTGAAGAGGTCCTGCCTGCCGGCAGGCTTAGGCTTCGCAACGAGCCAGCGAGCGACGCCAACCATGATCATTGTATTTGCTCCCGACTTTCCTTTTCCAAGGCGATAGATTTTGGAGCGATCTGATGGCCTTGCCATTATGCTGTAATCGGGCAGGCGCAGCCAGCGCGCCACGCAGAACGACAGCTGCGTGGCTTTCCAATTGGCTCATACCAACAACAAACAACGAACATGAAAATTTTAAAAAGGCATTTACTGGGTGCTATGCCATCAAACGACAAACAAACACCTTTATCATTACGTTACTGACGAATTAACGGCTTGTCAATCCCCCCCACACGAAGGAGGACTGGAGGGAGCAGTTTCATTACGACAAACCATCACAACCATGAATACTACCTACCGCCGCCACCGTTACCAAAACACGTTACTACCAGCATTCTCATCATGGATTATACTTGTCATCACTATCTTCATCACGATTTTGTTTCCCATACTGTAGTGGAGGAAATGGGGGAAGGTTTAAAGGGCGGAGCAATGGGTGTTTCGGGTTCTTGGGCGAGTTATTCCTTTTGATTTTCTTTTTTCTTGTTTCCCTGCTGCCCTCTACAGCTGGCTTTCTCTTACTCTCTTTTCAACCGCCCCCCCCCCATTATTGAGAGAAAAGCGCCTTAGATGGATCAATGGATAGTTTACCGAATGACAACAACTTGGTTTAGCCGAGCATGGACCTGTGTACTGTTTCTTGTTTTTTTTTTCGACGTCGCAGTGCTCCCTAGATCATGGGAAGAAAGCTCGACCAATAATCACCAGGGGTACTTTGAGGAACTCCCTGCGACCGTTTGGCTTGTCCATAGTTCTGGGATGCTCTTGGCGCGTTTTGGGTGGGCGAGAAAAAGCTGAACTTGCGCTTGACTGGGGTTTTTGAATAATGGGACAAAACAGCATGATGGCACCCCGGCTCAAAACGACAACGGTGTGATGTATCTACATATTATTCCCTGCTACCTACCCACCACCATATTTACCTCTTCTCAGCCGATTGCGACATCTAGCCAGTCTCTCTCTCTATCTCTCTCCGCGTGTTTACTTGATGTATTATCCTGCGACTTGTCGTGGCCAAATTCTGGGCCCGGGGATTTGTGTATTTTATCTTCTAGGTTTCAAAGGTTACAAGACCCTACCATACCTATCTGGATGACGGACGCACACACGCGTGGTCTTAGAGTGTGTCAAAAAACTAGCACCGTCCTAAAGCGATGAAGGCGATTGCGCTTAGCACCCTAGTTGACGGAGGCTGCTACTCATGCGCAGCCCATCCATGCCCACACACGGCTGTTTCATCGAGGAAGCCGATTGTGTCGCATTGCCATCACCGGGCAGTCCATTCTTGTATATGCTACAACATCTGGATGCGTCCCCTCTCCCCAAGGGTGCTTTCCCGATTGATAACTCTGACCCCAAGAACGTAGCATAGAATGGTCCCATTCCTGCCCAACGACGACCTTGACAAGGTGCCAAAAGATATTTATGGGGCTCGATAACTAAAGTACAGATTGGGTGACACACACGTACGCACGTCTAGAGAGGGAGGGGGACGCTGCTCATGCCAAATATCAAGCGTGGCAGAGGATAGCGGGATAAAAGCTTAGGCCTGGCCAATGGACCCTGGGAAGTCCATGCATGCGCTCTGCTCTGCGGAGGCAAAGGTATAATAGCCTGGCCATTGAGCCAAGCAATTGGCATAGCACGTATAGTATGATGTTCACCCGCCGGCGTCCCAATCTCGCCCTCGTCCTGCCTCTCTGGTCGTCCCTCTTCCTTCTTTCGTCATTTCGTCTTTTTTATCTTCCCAGTGGCGTGGTGTACCGTTAGGCTGGGTCTAATAATACCTCGTCTCTCTGCTCCGAGCTAGGCAGCCTCATTGTCAATACTAACAGGAGACAGGCAGGGGGGAGCTCAAGCAAGCCTTACTGGGATCCTTGCCCCAGTCGGACAATAAGATGCAACGGGCGAAAAACCTCTCCCCCAACTTACACACTCGCAGACGTTTCCGTGATGGTCCATGGGCAAGGAATAGGCATGGAGAATGAGGAACTTCGCCTGCCCAATGGGCCTCGTAGCTTGAGCTCTAGGCTAGGATCATGCAAGTCCGTGTCACCGGGAGGAGAGCCGGAGCCAGGGGAAGGGATCCATTTCATTCGAACTAGCTAGATATTGAAGCAACACTGAACCGGGTCTGTCCCCCTCTAAGGAATGGGACTGCGAGGAAGAGGCGGGTTTGTTAGTGAGGAAGAGAGAAAAAGATTGGGCGTGGCCGAGCCGCAGACTGTAGGTGCGTAAAGACGGAGCTCTGCCCTGTCCTGTCGTGTGAAGCGCATGGCACACGAGCACAGCAGCGGGTGGAATGGTGGGGACACACCAGCACTGAGACACTGGTGCACTCGGGACGCTTGATTCCCTCGAGGGGCTTGGAGGCGCCCGGACATCTTTCTCTGGGGGGGATCCTGAGGACAAGAGGGAGAGGACACGGAGGGTGCCAAACCCGCAATAGAGCCGGCGGGTTACCGGTCAGGCCGTGGAGATTTAGTTGAATGAGACCGACGGCCATCTAGAGGCGGAAGCACCTGTGCATGCCGCTTGCCTGGAAAGATCGATGGTCGTGGGAAGGGAACGAAGACCTGCTGTGGCAGTCGCCCACTCACCTGGCGGTAGGCCTATTAGGTGCAGGTTAGGGCCGTCTTAGCTGCTGCTGGCCTATTAGGCACAGACCGAAGTGCCTACAGGGACATGCCAGCGTTCCATGCGGACCAGCCTTTTCCTTTCCCTCTCGGTGAACCATAGCAGCGACTGCCAGGGTGACAGTCGATATGTGCTCTGGCGTCGTATCCTGGGTGCGGGGACTCGTTTTCTCCGGTACCGAGAAGGGACTTCGGTAAGAGGTGATTGTCTTCCAGGACGGGAGAGGCGAAGTGGCCAAGCCGAGTAACACTGGACACAGGCAGCGTTTCGTTGGCTGATGTGCCCTTGAGGGGGGCGGGCACAGCTCTGAGAGGTAACCTCCCCCCGGTAGTAGGTAGCTCTCTTAGCGCTCGGTACCCACCCTTTGCAAGCGGATGTGCGAACCGATGGGGAAGGGCAGACATTAGGCAGTTCGTGGAGGTGGTGGTTTTCCTTACACGTACCCCGAAAGTCCGTCTATTACTTCTCTGTGATAGGCCCTCTCGGGGAGCCAAGCTTGTGATTGGCATACATTTATCGAGGGAAGGGAGCCTGCCTGGGTTGCACTTTGCATGTGCGCCTGCGCCCGATTCGGGACACATCTCTCCGCCGACCGATGCATTCGCTGCCTCGTGTTCCCTCTGGCCTGACCCGACCCACGGGCATACCAAGGATCTGGTAGCAGTGGCATCAGAGAGCACAGGTCGGGAACTTGCGGGGAGCTGCGAAATGGGCGTTCATCCGCCGCCCGGGGGGGTGTGTGGGTTGTGTGATGCTGTCCTCAGAGCGAGGACCATGTTGCCTATCAGAGACGACAGCATTTCCGCCGCCATGTAACCACGTAAAGTGCTGATGGGTATGTGGTTGGCTGGAGGGACAGCTGTGGGCGGGTTCCCGGAAAGGGCAAGCCATGGTAATATCGCATAACCCGTTCCATTAATTGGGGGCCAGCGGGTAGTCGTCTAGGAAGTTCATGGCCAAGGAATCTTCGAGGTGGCGGAGGACGCCGTTGCTGACCGGTGCGTGGCCCACACGGAGGGCGCGAGGAGAGAGCAGGAGAGGGCAGGGTGTTGAGCAACTGCCAGAAGGTGAGGAATAAGCAGGGCAGGTCGTAAGAGAACGGACCCGAGAAGAGGGTCTTGGCTGGATAGATGCCACTTCACATGTGTTTGCTGATACAAGTTGTCAAAGCGACACGTGGTGAACGTGGCAAAAACGGTCACTAATTCTCTCTTTTTTCCCAGGTTGCTTCCCCAAGGCCATGGCAGGCAGGGATTCTACTCCCAGCGAAGTCCGAGGGGATGGAGTAACGGGACGGCGCAGGGCCTTTTTGGCTGTGTTTGCGAGGTCAAGGCGATTGTCTCGAGGTTCATTTCGGAACTTGCCATTCATCTCATTCAAATTGTAGGATATACGCGGGTCGGTAACCCCGAGGAAAATATAGTCTTGCCGGGAGGATAGGAGTTTCCCCATCACTTCACGACTGCGTGTTGTACAAGATAGCAAACATATATCTGTAGTGGGGATAGAAGTTGCCTCGTATGATCGACAGATCTCCCAACTAACCAAGTTTCTTCAAATCCCACTTCTCCTTCCCCATATACGCTTTGGGCTCAAACTTCTCGCCTCCACCAGGTAGCTCGATCAGTCAGGAGCATCCATGAGCCTGTGCAGATAGCAAGTGCCGCCTCCTATCATCACGAGGGCCAGTGCTGTGACTGAGACAGTTGCCAGCCCTCCACTGCCAGAACATTCCGACCTGTCTTGAACCACGTTGAAACTACGAAGCAGGGCACATCATACATATTGTGAGTCAAAGCGCACCATCTCTATTCAGTGAGGTACATAGGAACATTCGTAGGTGAAAACAGCTGCCGGTAGCAACCTTACATGATATTCAATCGTTCCAAATCGATAACTATCCACGACGCCAATAGCCTGTGCCCAACAGAAACCCCGTCGCAACTAGATCCAGAGAGAATATAAAAAAAAATATAGTCCAGTGAAAGGAAAGATATCGTGAGCCATGGTCGTGCTACACTAGCCGCCATGATTCTTTGTCTGTATAAAAGGGTAGCAATCAAGGTAAGGGTAATAACAAGAATAAAACAAGTCTTGATCCAAAAATCCCTTGCCTGTCGGCGATCCAAAATTCTTCGTAATTCAGCATAAATCAAAAGGGTAACATGATATAGAATCGCTTATTTGGTTGCATGTTCATCCCCGAAAGGGCTCGTTGCCCGTTCTCGTGTTTCCGGCCTCCTCATCACGTTGTCACCTTCCAACTCAGCCTCTACTACTGGGCGAAGGGAAGCGGTGGGCGTGTGGGGAGGATCTGAGAAAGGGCCTTGGTCAGAGGTAACAGTGATGGAAGGAGCTGAAACGTTCGGCATCATAGTCATTGCACCGAGAGTGGCAGGCGAGTCCAAGTGGGATGACCCGGTGGCCGCAGACTTGCTAGAGCTGGCATCAGACTTTGAGCCAATATCAACAGGCTTCAATCCGCCTCCGACCTTAACAACCTGGGCGCGGGCTTGAGTTGCGGTGTTGAGGAAGGTTGAGCCGACACTAAAGGCACTGGCTGTACTATCCGGTCGGTTTCCAAACTTGCCGAAGTTGATGTGCGGTACAGGGGGTGGCGTGATATCCGGGGCTCCGTTGGCGCCCTTTACACTGACGATCGAAGGCTTCACTCGCATGCCGGTTTGACCAGGAGCCATAACTTGTGCCTGTTTGCCGTAGATGGTTGACGCAATGCTCGAACGGGGCGCGTACGAAGCGTGTGTCGCATACGATGCGCGGTCAGAGTATCCAGAGAGGCCAGAGTATGTCGAGTCTCGGAGATCTCCCGGTAGAAAGAAGTGCTGATCTTCGTTTGAGGAGTCTCTTGTTCCACCAGTGTGTTGGGCCGGGATCGGTGGGACTGGAGGTACAAGGCTTCCTCCAGAGGATGGATTGGCCCGGTTTGTAACTCCTGGGATATAGGCGATTTGAATAATGTTGGAGGCTCGGGTGAGGACCGTAGAGGCAATGGAATGGACGGTGTGTGTTGACGAGCGACGAGTTAATCGAGATGCACCGTCTTTCTCCGAGTCTTGTGAAGGGTTCACTCCCACATCGTATGTCGACATCATGGAACTCTCAGCCCTTCTAGGCTTGATCAAGAATCTCCACGCGAGATAGGTTAGAAGAGCAATGAAGGCGACGCCGCCCACAACACCACCGGCAATGGCGCCCGTGTTGGGACCAGAGGAAGTAGTGGTAGTCGCCGAGTCAACGCATACAGCTACGCTAGCTGAGGAGCAATCGGTCGCAATTTGGTATTGGCATTTCTGGGTACTCTCGCATTTGGGACATTCGAGGTTGGTGCCGGTTTCGTATTTGTAGCATCCGGTATCGCCTCGGGGCAGCAACGCGACAACTAGAACGCGGGTTAGGATGAACGGGGAATGAAAGATTCGACGAAGGTGACCTACTTTCGTTGTACTCCTCCAACGTCCTGGCATAGACGAAGGGCGAGTCAATCATCATGGCGGCGTGAGGAGTATTTCCGTTCTGAATCGGAATGGAAGTCGCGGGTGGCTGTCGATGGATAGCTGGGTGTTGAACAAATACCAATGAGAGACTGTGTGTTGTTTATCCAGTTGTGGTAAGGTTGAAGATATTTCCAACGATTGATGATCGGGATCGGCGGATCTGCTGGTGCTGGGAAGGCGGAATGAATATCAACGTAAATGAGATTTGGTTGCGAGAACGAGTGGATTCGGAGACGAGCTCGGACGATAAATTGAAGGCTGCTTAAACCATGAAGGACGGAGACATCATCGACAGTGCCCGATATCAAGGAATACGAGCGCAGACGACGTCGGGCGGTTGATGCAGAAGGATGGCGGTTGGGTTCGTCTGCGAAGCTGGTGGAGATGGAGAAGGGCGAGTCGAGGTGTGAGAGGAGGTAACGGTGGCGAGGCACCAAAAATCGAGACTCGACCAACTTGCACAGGCACGCACGCACGCACACGCAGGAAGACAGGAACAGACAGACCCAATAAAGCTGGTGGTGGGCGGGAGAGAGATGGGTGCTCACAGCAGAGCGAAGGGGAGCCTGATCTCACAGCCGATGGAGCACAACAGGACCAGGGGATTTAGCCACTAGCCACCGTTCGGCTCTAGCGAAACAATCTCAACGGATGCCAAGCCCAATACAGTGCTGCAGGGCCATCCAACACGGCCTCCGAGCCAACGGTAGGCGACCACTGAGGGGGCGGCATTGCAGCGAGCCCCATTATTCGAAACCCCAGGGGCCACACACGGCCTGCAGATGTGCGTGGCATTGACCCCCTGATGCAGGTTGGAGACGGTACACTAATACTCGCACTGTCTTTGATTCCACCCCTTTTCTTGCAGAAATCCTTCCCTTCCAAGTACGGGTGGAGCTCACCATGCCTAGTAGACAACACCAGCCTCATCGTCGTCGTAGAGTTAGGTAGGTCGAGAGCACAGAGCCTCTGGCGGCGCGGCATCCACACTTTGACAGATTTCTTGGGCGGACTCATCATCTGCATTGTGGTCGGTCGAGCCATCCCATCCGTCGGTCAGCAGCTCGGCATGGATCAAAATGGCGTATAAGCATGCATCCTCACCCTCCCACCCAAGTACCTACCTTTCATGGTAGAACCTTGCGGGGCGTAGCAGTTCCATCCTCGATGGTGTAGGGGGAGTTGCACTGTGATAATTTAGGCCTGCAGCGAATCACATTGCGACTGGTCACTTTCTTATGTTTTGCCGTTCAAGAGCGAAATTATCTTGGGTGGCGCTGTCTGTGGAACGTGTGAGTTTTCCCTCAATCTAGTCTCGTTCCGACGCCGTTAGGTAGGCAATAATCATGCTCACCCCGGGATTGGTTGGCCCCACCCCTCTCCGCCCGCCCATAACTGTTCTTAAGGCCAGCTTGGGGTGGCTCTGTATTCATGTCGGCGACGCGCTGCATCAGGTCATCTCGGACTCAACCAGCAGCGGCATAATGGACTTCCTTTTCAATATATCCCTTCATATTACAATACGCAGCCGATGTGATACCATCACATATGGGAGATTTGGATAATCCTAACCCCCTGAAGGATAACTATACCACCAACCTTCGGAGTAGGATCTGACGCTTATGGTTGCTTGGTGGTGAGCTGTTGAATCGGTACCCTTCCGGCAAGAGTTAGTTGACTTATTCTTTCAGAGGGAATCACGTTGGAACAGAGTCAGATGCTATGTGATTCCCTCTGAAAAAGGGAGTTGAATAACTCCGACCAGAAGGTAAATCAACCATTCACCACCAAGCAATAACAAGCATCAGATCCTGCTCTGAAGGTTGATACAGCTGTCCTTCAGGATGATGCCCACAGCCGAGGTCATGTTTGGACAATTGGCATGTTTCACATCAACACGAAGCTGCTTGGTCGTTTTGCTCTCGTTGGCACCTGTGTGATTCTCTATATTATGAAATATGCAGTGTCTTGTCAAATTATCATCGGTGGATAACAGATGCGATATTGAGGCTGTCACTAGAAAGAGGATCGTCAATTGTTTACCAACTGCAGATCAGACCAGGGAGGGCATGGGCTAACGAAGCCCGAGGGAAAAGTCGAGGAAGGTCCCGATGTGGCGATGCGATTGTGGCATGCGGCGGATGGGAATGTTTGTGTGCAGTTTTTTCTGCTTGGTTTGATGTTGCGCCTCATCCTCGATATATCATATTGTTGCTCTAGACGAAAACAAAGACGTACAAGTGGCTGAGCATGGCATAGGGCAAAGAATTGAAGATGAGGCAAATGCACAATCCTCAAATTAAAACACACTGGCTGACAGTGGAACTTACCTCGTGAAAAGGAGGCGCAGGCGAGGAAATGAGTTACGAGAAGTACCTCAGTAGTGCTGCGCTGGGGGCTGGCCTCTTGCCTGTATCCGCTCACGAAACACAAGCCGTAACTCTCCAGATCCGACTTACATGGTTTCTATTTTTGAACCACTAGCCCCTCTCAGTGCCCAGTCAAGATGCACCAAACATCTCGTAGTGCTACGTAGTATACCTGGTGTGGATCGCCGCAGTCTGACAGTCAGCAGACGGTACATCTTGGAGAGGGGCCTGGGCTGCCAGCTGGGTAATGGGCCCAGTTATTTAGCAGCAGCACACCGCGACATTGGACTGCACCTCGACGTGGTGGTGCATCTTGTAACGCAGATCGTCATCGATACTTCAATTCCCGACCAGATCAGCGTATGAGAATATGTATCTGTTACCCCTTGATTTCCCAGCCAACTAGAGGTTCTAAACATGTACCTACAGGCACGACATCTCAAGTCACTCGAAGGGCTGCTTCCCGAGCGGTTCTGTCAGCTTGCTGTGGGACTTGCTCTGACATTTGACCCAGCTGGTTTTTTTACCCATTCGCAGCAGTCGGTAAGGCGCCAGACCACGTTCTCTTGCAATTGCGAATCGGGTGGACCAAGCGTACGTACGATAGAGGCCATTCGTCATGTGTGTCGTTATCGCTCCCACTTCTTTGCCTGCCAGTGCTCGCCCGCTCTCTGGCTTGCGAGGCGGCACGCTGCGTGAACTCTGCCGCCAGCATGAATTCGAGATGGCTCCCGACCTACATCCACGGATGGGGCAAGGCAGAATGGGGTTGGTATGCACCGTAGAGTGGCCAATTGCCTTCACAGGCGGCCGAGATCCAGAGAGCTATTGCTGATCTCCCCCGCTTGGGGCGAAGGGAGGAAAAGAGGCTGGAGGCTGTCTACCACTAGTTGCTGTACGAGTGGCTCAGCTGGTGAGCTGGAGGTCGGCCTAGGGGACTGCCTGCATACCAGGTTCTACGCGGTGAGCATTGTCAGCTTAATACATCTGGGTACATCACACATGCCGAGCGTACCAATCATCTAGGGGGCTCAGCTGCAGTTAGCGTGCGTGGGTGGTCGTGGTGTGGCCCCAGCCCAGCCCAGTCCCCTATTCCTTGAATCGCAGACCCCGTTCTGCTGAAACGGAGCTGTTGCTAAATTTCAGGCCCTCAAAAGTAAATCATCCTCCCATCCACCCTTTTTCGTGCTTCCATCATCGATTCTGGATCTCCAGATCTGCTGCTATTCCCCTTCTTCCACGACATCTTCACGCCGCCGCTAAGTTGAGGCTGGAGCCTCGGTGCACGCGTTGCTTGTCTTTGTTTCAGCTTTTCGGGGCTCTCCACACAGCACCCTCCCACTCGCTCACTCCTTTTTTTTCTCCCGACCACGATAGGAACAGATTGTATTCCACATCCTAATACCCAGTTGACGACACACACCAAACACAGCACGCCGAACGGGATACATCATCAATCATGGCGTACAATGGCCAGGGCCGCGGCCATGAATACGGAGGACACCCAATGCAGGATCTCCCAACTGGCAGCAGCGTGAGTAGCGGCGAAATGAAGCTATCCACCCACGATTCGCAGCTTGCCCTAACCTTTTCTTCCTACAGTACCATCTTCCCCAGCAAGAACATGACGAAGAGGCCGGCCGCCATCTCCTGAATGACCCTCGCATGGGAGGGGGTTACGAGCAGGATAGACTGGGCGCCACCACACCTCCAGATCGTCCAGTCTCTGCTTACAGTCTTACCGAGTCGTATGCTCCTGGTGCTTCGAACGCACCTCCTGGCACGACCGGCGGTTTCCCTGACCCGAGTTACGGTCAGTACGGAAATCCTGGCCACGACATTCATCGTCCCGCCTCCACATTCGAGGACAAGGAGGACAACTGGCTGCAGCGTCAACAACAGCAGGCCCCGCTCAGTTCCGGCTCACGTAGCGGTGGCTTAAAGCGTTTCAACACCCGTAAGATCAAGCTTGTTCAGGGCTCCGTTCTGAGCATCGACTATCCTGTCCCTAGTGCCATAAAAAATGCGGCGCAACCACGATACCGCGATGGGGAGGGTGGCTCTGAGGAATTCTCCAAGATGCGATATACCGCTGCCACATGTGACCCCAACGAGTTCACACTCAAGAATGGTTACGATTTGCGTACTCGCATGTACAACAGACACACTGAGCTTCTGATTGCCATCACATACTACAACGAAGATAAGGTCTTGCTCGCAAGAACTCTTCACAGCGTGATGCAGAACATCCGCGACATTGTGAACCTCAAGAAGTCCACTTTCTGGAACAAGGGTGGGCCTGCTTGGCAGAAGATTGTTGTCTGTCTTGTCTTCGACGGTATCGAGAAGGTGGATAAGAATACTCTGGATGTTCTGGCTACTGTTGGTATCTACCAGGATGGTGTTGTCAAGAAGGATGTCGATGGCAAGGAGACCGTCGCCCACATTTTCGAGTATACTACCCAGCTGTCTGTCACACCCAGCCAGCAGCTGATTCGACCTGTCGATGATGGTCCCCAAACCCTCCCTCCCGTCCAGATGATCTTCTGCTTGAAGCAGAAGAATACCAAGAAGATTAACTCTCACCGTTGGCTCTTCAATGCCTTCGGCCGAATGCTGAACCCTG